ACATGACTAACTGTCACACAAAGATGGGCCTCTCGTGCCACTGAGATGAGTGGGAATAATCCGGATGGGCCATCTGGCCCCTGGTCGCCCCAGTCTCCCCAGCCAAACCACCAGCTGAAGGTGGGGGGGAGAAGGCCTTTTTCCTGAGGGAGAGGCAGGGTGATTGTGACCAGAAGGGGGACCAGAATGCTTGAAGATAATTGACAGGTACGCCCACTGCCAACACCCGCTACCCTGTGGCGTGATGGATGATGTTACCAGATGATGTGTTTAAAGTACTGGGTGCAAGGGCTAAGATCCTAATAACGTATAGGCTCTTGAGCTGTTATCACTTAGAAAAGAGGCTCGCGACCCAATACACTTGAATCTTTAGCATAATAAAATTATACATTTACATTTTTTCCTTTCCTTTCTTTAGAGTGAGGACAGACTCTGATTTTTTCTTTGTAAAAATCTTTCCTAAGGAGGCCGCGTGGGTCGGGCGACAGACGTAAATTCCCACTAAAGCGGCTTGAAACCAATTGGAAAGCGGTTGTTACTTCCCAACCGATTCTTATGGCATTAAGCTCAGCCTAGAAGATAAGAAGGCCCTGTCTTAACTCAAGCATCTCTGCAGGCGCCTATTGTAAATTTAAAACATACTCTGTCTGGACCTCCGAGAGTGCTCGATACTGTGATCTTAAAGTAAGCATATCCTTTCTGGTCTTCTAGATAAGTCTAACTCTCTCAGCAATTGCCAGCCAATATGATCTTTGAAACCCCATCCGTATAACTTGCTGTAAGCCCCCCGTTTAAGATTCCCCTTTTGGCCAAACCAGATGTAGTGCCTCTCATGTGTTGATTGTTGACTTTGGGCCTGGTAACCCCGCTCTCTCTGAAAATGGTATAAAGAGCTGAATCTGGTTAACCCCAGCACAGCGAGCCGACTTGCTCCAGGACTTCTTTGCTGGGCTCCGGGTCATGCCTCAAGATTTGGGCCAAATAATTCTTATCATTATTTCATGGCTTGATTTTCCGTCCACCAAGAGGGACAAGTCACTCTGTCACCTAGGCGGAAGTGGCATGTGCTATGGATCATAGCTCACTGTTAGCCTCGAACTCCTGGGCTCAAGTGATCCTGGACTGCAGGTGCATGACACCAGCTAATTTTAGAAAATATTTGTAGAGGAGGCGTCGGCTCAGCGGCCTGTAATCCTAAGCTCTGGAGGGCCGAGGGCGGCGGATGCTACGATCAGAGTTGAAAACGCCTGATATGTGTGCGAACCTTGTCGTTTTTTTACATTATTAGATGCAGAATAAGAATTGTCCAACTAAAATATTCTATATTAGAATATATATTAGCTGGTCATGTCATGTTCTGTATCCTGGCTATGCATATAGTTCTTAGCCAGGATGTTGAGGTTTGCTGAGCTAGTGCTGCTGCGGGTATGTGTTATCTCCTATCTCATCATAGCAAATATCTTCAAATATAAATAATTATTTTTTTTATTGATTGGTTATCTATCTGGTCCCTGTTATTATCTTCATTGGAGATCTATCACCATATTGCTGCTCTATATTCCTATTTTTATATAAATTTCAAATTAGTTTTGTATGATCCGTTATAATATTATATTTTTTGGTTATATTTTAATATTATACACATATAAGGTATATTTGTATTATATAGGTTATTAGTTTTTCTTTTTTGGCTCACCTTTAAAAAATTGTAAACGTTTGTTGTTAAATAGGGATGCACTTAATATTCAATGCACTGAGGATATGAAATGACATTACAGGAGGCTGGTGTCCCGTACTCTTGTAGGGACAACCAAAAATGTTGCCAGTTTCTTGGGGTACCCTTCCAGACACACTTATACAATTTTGGGTTTTCTGCATCATTGATGAGGATCATGATGCTTTGTTTGATTTGTTTATGTGCGTTCAGTTATTATTGATTTATGTACTGTCGACACAATCTGCTCCCTTGGGATAAAGGCCACTGGTCCGGTAGATTATTTTGATGACTTGCCTATTAGTTCATTTGCTAGTATTCTTTAGGTTTTGCATCTATTTCATTAATGGTATTGCCTGTAGTTTTCTTTTGGTGTTGCTGCCTGGTGGTATCAAGGTATACTGATTCTAGTAAGACGTGGGAAGATCCCTTCTTCCATTTAGGAATATAATCCTGTATGTGTGGGTACCAGTATCTTGGCAGAGCTGATAGGAATTTTGGCTGGATCATGACCAGGGCTTCGTTTGTTGAGGTTTATACTTTTTGATCTCATCATTATTGTCTGTTCAGTTGATTCTATTTTTCCAGGTTGAGTTGCTTGAATTGTCTGTTCTTAGTGATACACTATCCATTTCCTTATGTTCTCTATTATGCATGTGAAGGAATTTACAATAAGTATCATGGAGGTTGATGTTTGTATTCTGCATCAATTGTAATGTCAACTTTTTCATTCTGATTGAGCGTTATTGTCTTTCTTTCTGTTCTTTTTCAATCTAGAAGAGGTGTTGATTTTCTTGTATTTTGTCAAGAACCACTTTTGTTCATAGTTTGTATTTGTTTTTATTCTCTAAACTTATTTATTCTGCTCTGACGTTCAGTTTCTTTCTGCTGGGTTTGGGTTTGTTTGCTCTTCCTTTTCTGATCCTGGATGATGACACTAGATATAATTTGTGTCTTCTGTCTGTTCGACTCCTCTTTGTGTCAGTTCAGAGAATTTTTTATATGCATCTTAAGTTATCTGCGAACCATAATTCCTTCAGCGCAGGTTGTTTAATTTCCATGATTTTTAGGTCATTTTCTCTTGGATTTGATTTCTAGTTTTATTCCAACTGTAATCTGACAAGGTTACATGATATTGTTACTTTTTATTTTGGGACCGGTTTGTGGCTTAAGATATGACCATTTTGGAAGAATTGTCCCATTCTGCTGAAATAGAAATAAATAAATAAAAAGGTATTTAATTTGCCTCCATTACATTCTGGTCTGCTTTGGGTTCTGGAAGGACTACTGAGGCAGTGGGTACTTAGCCAAAAGAAGGTCACCAGCAAAGAACTCTCCTAGCACACACAAGAGGCAGATGAGGTCCTCTCCTTTGGAGAGGGCCTCTCGGATGCAGGTTTCACGTGAATACGGGATTATTGTTTCCCTACGTAGCGATGATTTCTGCTGCTTCTTTTGGTTGTCCATTTTTACATTTTCCTGGAAGCCCTGGTACTTGTCAGAGGACTGTGGTGAATAACTCTATAACAAACTGCGAAATGATTGTCAATAACTTCCAGTTAGCTTAAGGAAAGGGTTCATCTACTCAATAGTCTTTTCTTTCTTCATAGGACACAAAACAATTTGTTTCAACTTCATTTTTTTTAAGATTATAAACTTTCTTTTCAGCTTTACTGAAGTACAATTGACAAAATTGTATATATTTAAAGTGTGTAATGCGATGATTTGATTAACTTCATTATTATGCAGTGTTCCATTCTTCTCCTTTGGTGCTGGTACAATCTAGAAAATACACCTCCATGGCTTAACCTTTCTGTTTAGTGTTATGGAAGATATGGTGGTCTGGTTTAGGTGTTTTGGAAACTTTGCTTGTAGTTCTACTTTATCTTGAGGAAGAAGTAGTCTCATTGATTGATTTGCAGCTGGTATAGTATGTCCAAAGGTCACCTGTACAGATAATATAGTCATGAACAGGTGAGAAAATTTGTACCATTTATATTTATCCCTTTAAATTGCCTTTAAAAAAAAAACAATGAAACCTAATTGCATTTTTTTTTTGAGACAAAGTTTCACTTTGTTGCCCAGAGTGAGTGCCGTGGGAGAGCTAGGATTACAGGCGTGAGCCACCGCGCCTGCCTTCTACAAATATTTTTAAATTAGCTGGGTGTCATGCACCTGCAGTCCCAGGATCACTTGAGCCCAGGAGTTCGAGGCTACAGTGAGCTATGATCATGCCACTGCATTCCAGCCTAGGTGACAGAGTGACTCTGTCTCTTGTGGACGGAAAGAATCCAAGCCCTGAAATATTTGAAAGAAGTTTATTCTGAGCCAATTTGAGGACCATGACCCGGAGCCACAGCCAAGAAGCCTGGAGCAAGTGGGCTCGCTGTGGCTGGGTTACAGTTCAGTTTTATACATTTCAGAGAGACAGGGTTACAGGCAAAGTCAACAATCAACACATGAGAGGCATACATTGGTTGGCCAAAAAGTGGGACATCTTGAAACGGGGGCTTACAGGTTATAGGTGGGTTTAAAGATTCTTTGGCTGGCAATTGGCTGAGAGAGTTAGACTTTATCTAGAAGACCAGAAAGGATATGCTTACTTTAAGATAAGAGTATGAGCACTCTCGGAGGTCCAGACAGGAGTATGTTTTAAATTACAATAGGCGCCTGCTAAGATGCTGAGTTAAAGACAGGGGCTTCTTATCTTTTAGGTGATGTTAATGCCATACCAGAATCAGGTTGGGAAGTAAACCACGCTTCATTTGGTTAACAAAAGCCGCTTAGTGGGAATTTACCGTTTGTCAGCCCGACCCAGCTGGCCTCCTTAGGAAAGAGTTTTTAGCAAAAGAAAAAATCAGAGTTCTGTCCTCACTCTAAAGAAAGGAAAGGAAAAAAATGTAAATGTATAATTTTATTATGTAAAGATTAGTGTATTGGGTCGAGCCTTTCTAAAGTGATAACAGCAAGAGCTATAGGTTATTAGGCTCTTAGCCTTGCACCAGTACTTTAAACACATCATCTCGGGTAAATCATCCCATCCACCCACAGGGTAGGCGGGTGTTGGCAGTGGGTACCTGTCATTTCCTTCAAGCATTGGTCCCCTTCTGGTCACATCACCCTGCTCTCCCTCAGGAAAAAGGCCTTCCCCCACCACCTTCAGCTGGTGGTTTGCTGGGGAGACCTGGGGGGACCAGGGGCCAGACTGGCCATCCGGATATTCCACTCATCTGCAGTGGCACGAGCAGGCCCATCTTTGTGTGACAGTTAGTCTGTCTTTGGGTTGATGAACTGTGCCGCAGACTGGTGCCTCCAGCAGGAGAACCTGCCCGAGGCCACAGGACTGAGGAAGGCAGAGGGTGAGTGCGGACAGAAGCCAGCGCATGGGGTGACCCCGGCCGCGAGACTGCAATCCATATGCCCATAAACATGCTAGTTATGCAAAACCCACATTTTCTTTTTAAAAAATGATTGTGCTAGGATTTTCTCCTAAGCCACCTAAAGGATCCTTACTAATGTAGTGGAATTACTTCCATTCTACATGAGGAAACTGGGTGCAGAGAAGTTGAGTAATTGGTTTGAGATTGTATTGCTAATAAGCAGCAAAGCTGGGCTTCAACCCAGGCCTTACCTGAAGGCCTATGTTCAAAGTGACATATTGTGTCATGAACAACATCTACCAGTGCTTCTGTCCTTAAAATGCAATTAGGGGCCGGGCACGGTGGCTCACGCCTGTAATCCTAGCACTCTGGGAGGCCAAGGCGGGCGGATTGCTCAAGGTCAGGAGTTCAAAACCAGCCTGAGCAAGAGCGAGACCCTGTCTCTACTATAAATAGAAAGAAATTAATTGGCCAACTAATATATATAGAAAAAATTAGCTGCGCATGGTGGCACATGCCTGTAGTCCCAGCTACTCGGGAGGCTGAGGCAGGAGGATTGCTTTAGCCCAGTTGCTGTGAGCTAGGCTGACTAACAGGTGAACAGACACATCCCACATATCATGATCCGAATAACATAACTGACTGAATGACATCCTCTAACAAGTGAGGGCGCTGCTGAAATGGAGTCGAAAAACCACACTAACGCTAGTCTGCTTGTCTCAGGAAACACATCTAAACCAAACAGAATGCACACAGACTCACATGAATAATGGAAAAAATCTCCATGCAAACAACTCAAATAGAGCACGATTGTAGCCTTCTCACATCAGATAAAATTGACTTTAAGTCCATAAGCTAAGAAAGACAAAGGAGGGTCACTATATCAAGGTAACAAGGGAGCAATTCAACAAGAATATACTAACAATCCTACATACTACATACCGACCACCCAACAAGACTCCCAATAAAAAAGCAAATTTTACTAAACTAAAGCAGAATAAATACACCATCATAATTGCCCAGGGACCTCAACACCCCACTGTCAGTAGCTCAAAAAATCACAAAAGCAGAAATAAATACCCAAACAAGGGAGTTAAACCAAGAGCTCTAAATCAACTGACTAATAGACATTTACAGAAACATTTCATACCACACAAGAAAACAGACTACACCTATTTCAGCAGAATGGGACAATTCTTCCAAAATGGTCATATCTTAAGCCACAAACCGGTCCCAAAATAAAAAGTAACAATATCATGTAACCTTGTCAGATTACAGTTGGAATAAAACTAGAAATCAAATCCAAGAGAAAATGACCTAAAAATCATGGAAATTAAACAACCTGCGCTGAAGGAATTATGGTTCGCAGATAACTTAAGATGCATATAAAAAATTCTCTGAACTGACACAAAGAGGAGTCGAACAGACAGAAGACACAAATTATATCTAGTGTCATCATCCAGGATCAGAAAAGGAAGAGCAAACAAACCCAAACCCAGCAGAAAGAAACTGAACGTCAGAGCAGAATAAATAAGTTTAGAGAATAAAAACAAATACAAACTATGAACAAAAGTGGTTCTTGACAAAATACAAGAAAATCAACACCTCTTCTAGATTGAAAAAGAACAGAAAGAAAGACAATAACGCTCAATCAGAATGAAAAAGTTGACATTACAATTGATGCAGAATACAAACATCAACCTCCATGATACTTATTGTAAATTCCTTCACATGCATAATAGAGAACATAAGGAAATGGATAGTGTATCACTAAGAACAGACAATTCAAGCAACTCAACCTGGAAAAATAGAATCAACTGAACAGACAATAATGATGAGATCAAAAAGTATAAACCTCAACAAACGAAGCCCTGGTCATGATCCAGCCAAAATTCCTATCAGCTCTGCCAAGATACTGGTACCCACACATACAGGATTATATTCCTAAATGGAAGAAGGGATCTTCCCACGTCTTACTAGAATCAGTATACCTTGATACCACCAGGCAGCAACACCAAAAGAAAACTACAGGCAATACCATTAATGAAATAGATGCAAAACCTAAAGAATACTAGCAAATGAACTAATAGGCAAGTCATCAAAATAATCTACCGGACCAGTGGCCTTTATCCCAAGGGAGCAGATTGTGTCGACAGTACATAAATCAATAATAACTGAACGCACATAAACAAATCAAACAAAGCATCATGATCCTCATCAATGATGCAGAAAACCCAAAATTGTATAAGTGTGTCTGGAAGGGTACCCCAAGAAACTGGCAACATTTTTGGTTGTCCCTACAAGAGTACGGGACACCAGCCTCCTGTAATGTCATTTCATATCCTCAGTGCATTGAATATTAAGTGCATCCCTATTTAACAACAAACGTTTACAATTTTTTAAAGGTGAGCCAAAAAAGAAAAACTAATAACCTATATAATACAAATATACCTTATATGTGTATAATATTAAAATATAACCAAAAAATATAATATTATAACGGATCATACAAAACTAATTTGAAATTTATATAAAAATAGGAATATAGAGCAGCAATATGGTGATAGATCTCCAATGAAGATAATAACAGGGACCAGATAGATAACCAATCAATAAAAAAAATAATTATTTATATTTGAAGATATTTGCTATGATGAGATAGGAGATAACACATACCCGCAGCAGCACTAGCTCAGCAAACCTCAACATCCTGGCTAAGAACTATATGCATAGCCAGGATACAGAACATGACATGACCAGCTAATATATATTCTAATATAGAATATTTTAGTTGGACAATTCTTATTCTGCATCTAATAATGTAAAAAAACGACAAGGTTCGCACACATATCAGGCGTTTTCAACTCTGATCGTAGCATCCGCCGCCCTCGGCCCTCCAGAGCTTTTGTTTGCCCAGGCTAAAGTGAGTGTCGTGGCGTCAGCCTAGCTCACAGGAACCTCAAACTCCTGGGCTCAAGCGATCCTCCTGCCTCACGCCTCCCGAGTAGCTGGGACTACAGGCATGCGCCACCATGCCTGGCTATTTTTTTATATATATTAGTTGGCCAATTAATTTCTTCTCTATTTATAGTAGAGACGGGGTCTCGCTCTTGCTCAGGCTGGTTTCGAACTCATGACCTCAAGTAATCCACCCGCCTTGGCCTCCCAGAGTGCTAGGATTACAGGCGTGAGCCAACGCGCCTGGCCTTAGCTTAATTTAAATTTAATATCAAAGACTCATTTACTATAAATGTTGGGACATATTATTGGTCACTTAAATTAAAAATGAATAATTTAGGATGGGCGCGGTGGTTCACGCCTGTAATCCTAGCACTCTGGGAGGCCGAGGCGGGTGGATTACTTGAGGTCATGAGTTCGAAACCAGCCTGAGCAAGAGCGAGACCCCGTCTCTACTATAAAAGAAAGAAATTAATTGGCCAACTAAAAATATTAGAAAAATTAGCCAGCATGGTGGCGCACGCCTGTAGTCCCAGCTACTCAGGAGGCAGAGGCAGGAGGATCGCTTGAGCCCAGGAGTTTGAGGTTGCTGTGAGCTAGGCTGACGCCATGGCACTCACTCTAGCCTGGGCAACAAAGTGAGACTCTGTCTCAAAAACTTAATTAATTAATTAAACTAAAGGACTCTAAAGTTGGAGACCTCAGCAGAGATCTGGTGCCGGCCAATCCCAGGTTTCTGCAACTGATGCCACCCTGATTACTCTGGAGCACGGAGCCAGGTCCTCTCAGGACCCAGCCCTCCACAGTAGCATTTGCATCACCCTCGCAGGTCAGAGAGGAAACAGATGCTTCCCTGGGTCATGCCCTGTTACTGTTGGGGAGCACAGCCTCCCTAGCGTGGGAGCTGAACAGAGGAGGAGCCCCAGATGCCACAGGCACCACTTGGGAAGCCTAGGGTGACTGCCTCGTGGGTCCTAGGTGTGGGTGGAGAACCTGGCTGACCAGAAGCTCTGGCTCACCTACATGGATACTGGGCTGCTGAGATAAACCCTGCCTGCATTACTGGGCATCAGCAGTCCCACACTGGTGGGATAGCCCCCCATATGGGCAGTTTTACCCCCAAATCCCCAGAGCCAGCTCTAAACTCTTGCTGTGTCCAGTCTGAGATCTGCCCCTGTAGCTCCAGGGCCTCCGCCAGCTACAGCTCCCTATGAAACTCCAGAGTTGTGCCTGGACTCCAACACCACTGAGTCCTCACCATTACTGCTGGGCTGGCAGAACCTCTCTGAGGTCCAGCATTTCACTCAGAACCCCAGCCCTGAGCAGCCATCACTCCTATACTTGAATTGAGAGAGTCTCCAGCAAGAGGAAACAGGTGCCCTGCAATCCTATTAACCAGAGTTGAGTAAAGAGGAGCCAGATGACAAGAAATCGCAAAGAACTCTGGCACATGAGAAAAAAAAATACTTCAACATCTCAGAGGGAACATAATGGAGCTACAGTAGTAAACTCACCCACAGGAAATTGCCAAAATGTTAGAAAGGATTCAGAATATGAATGCCAATAAGATGAATGGAATTGAGATGAAGTTGAAACAAAAACATTCCAAAACAACATTTCAGGAAATCAATGAAAACATGAAAAAGTCATTAGAGAGCTAAACAACATAAGAAAGGATATAATAGAACTTAAAGAATGAAAAAGTCCATTAAGGGAATTTCAAAAACAGTAGAAGCTTTACAACAGGCTAAATCAAGAATAAAGAATCTCAGAGCCTGAAGACAAGGCTCTTGAGATAACCCAGTCATTCAAGAGGCAGTAAAAAGTATAAAAAGGTCCGAGCAATCCCTGAAAGATTTATGAGACTAGTGAAGCAAACTAATATTTGAATTATAAGTATCTCTGAGAGAAGAAAAAAGATCTTTCATGGAAAACCTATTTTAGGATATTATTGGGGAAAACTTCCTTGGTATTGCCAGAAATTCAGACATCGAACACCAGGTAGTATCTCAAGACACATA